TGTTAATAAAATTAGATAGTGCTTATAGTTGGCCCGTTTTTTGTTGCTATTATTAACAGTAGAAACCATTACATCTTCTATTTTTTTTTCGTTTTTACACCATTAGATCAATTTTTTTGATTCTTTTTTTGTTATTCATTCAATAAATAGATGTAACCATTAGTTGTCGTCAGTAATTAGTCGCATTTAAATTGTTCAAAAAAGTTTACAACTAGATATACCACCGGCAAATTTATCATGTCTATTATAAGTGTTTTTACCATAGTGTTGATACTGGCCTCGAATTGTTCAGTTGAAAATATCTATTTGATTTACGCCTATTTTAGCTTTATCTTCTTCATTTTATCTCCTGGCCTGGCATCCTGCCAATTCAACCGTATATTCAGTCTAACTGCTTTAAGTGCTGCTTGGATTATTCGTCAGTTATTGGTCGAAGAAGAAGAGGGAAAAAAAAACGCTTCCTTAGATGTAACTTTAGCAGAGCAAAACATAATTGCTAATTATTCAAAAATTAGTTAAAAGCTTCTTCTGCTATCTTTCGCAGTTCCGCTTTTTTTTTCTCTCACTTGATTTTTCTTCATTATTTTCTTTGCTATCGGTCTTTCATCAATTTCTGTTGCCCACCTGAGTAAATGAAGCTAAAATGTGTAATGAAAGCTGGAACCTATGATGTTTGTGCACATAAAAAGCGTGAATATGGTAAAAATAATTTTCATCCACAGAATGCTAATCATCGCTTGATACGTGGACGAATTGTTTTTCGTGAACATCGTTGGTAAGTTTATTGAAAAATTGTTTCATTCACTTTTTCTCCCCCTTTAAAGATTGCCTTTAAGAGTCACCATAAATTTGTCTGAATATACAGTGAAGCAGAATTTCCTACTAGTCAGGGTGATACATGTAATAGGGCAATAAAGCCGTAAGTTTTAAGCAACTATATGGTGGTAAATAAAATTTGAATTTTTAAAATAAAAAGCACCATCATACTGGACATCAGTTGTTTTTACTACTAATTGATAGACAAAGCAATAAAGTGACATTTGGAACCTGTGACTTAAGTAGGCATTTGCAAAGAATGGACTTTGTTATGGGACGTTGTAAACGTGCTTTTTCATTTGTTTGTGCAATTTTATGTGGCTGTCTGTACTGGCGGTGTTAAATTGATCAACTAGTGTTGCTTGTTTTCAAATCAAATTGCTTCAAAAATTTGCACTTTTTGATGGAATTCTGTACATTAACAAATAATTTATCAGAAAATTTTTAACAGCAAAAATTATGTTTGAAAAACAGTGTTGTTTGAGTTAAAAATAAGAACTTTTATTCAACATTAATGGCTTTTTTTATTTCAGCATTATTATTTTACAAAAAGCTATAGAATCTCTATCTATAAGTGGTGAATGAAAGAAGTATATTTCAGCTTTTTAATGGGTTAAATATTTGTATAGAGTTATTGGGGCAAGCAAGAGGGGAAAGGTTGAAAGATAAGTGAAGGTCACAATCTGATCAAATTGTATAAATTGTATAAAGAACAATATTTAATAAAAGTAGTTTCGCATAAATTTCTGTTTTAGTCACTGTTGTTATTTTTTTGATTTTTTATTTTTATTTTTTTTGACAAAAAAATGTTGGGAAACGAAATTATGTACAAAAATGATGGAAGAAAAAATGTGTAAGATGATGCTGACGGTGGCCTCGTGAGTATCAGAAGTAGCAATTCATTGAGCAGCATCAACAGCAACAGCATCAATGGCATCATGAAGAGGTTTACGAGGAAAAGGTCAATACAATTGCAGTTGTTGAATTGTATTAAAGAAAGCAAAAAAAATATCTTTTTTTGTTTGAACGTTTATTTGATTTTCAAATGGACGTAAGGAAAACATCTTTTTTTTTTTTCTAAATTATTTTTGCTGATACTCTAACGCCGTTTTTGTTGCCAATGCCACCGCTGCTGTTGCCGATATTTTTAGTTGAGTTTTATTTTAGCGTTTGAAGGATAAAAACTGTATAAAATTATCATTTTTTTTCGTTAGTCGTTTACACAAATTGTCGGTGGCACTGCAAAAGTGTTGTTAAAAGATTAACTAAAGACGCCAAAAAAAGAGAATTTTTTTAGTTTATTTTTTTAATTTTTTTGTTTTATTTACTTTTTTTGTTCTTTTTTTTACCTGTTGTTACAAAAAACGAATTGTTTATTCCAGTTTATTTAACTTTTGCAGTTCTAAATCTGCCAAAGTGTTCTCAGATTTATTGGTTGATTACTGTTAGATGTTAACTGTAGAAAATGCGCACAATTTGACCATAACTGAATTATAGACATAGCCGATAAATACTGAATCTGTGTTGGTATAGTGAAAAACCGCAAAAAAAAAAAGAACGTAGTAAAAAAATCGGTAAATTGTATCTAATGGGTATAGAAAAGTTCACAAATTAAAGTAAAATGATTTTTGCAAGTGAATGATTTACTGTTTTTACAAGGCTTTTTTTTTGTGGGTCTTTATTGATGAATCTTTAAGTGAATTTTAGGATTCACCATTGAAATAACTAGCAGACAACTTTCTTTTGTGACAGGAAACTTATTTTAAAAAAATTATTAATGTAAATTTCAGTAGAATTATTTAGTTATTTTATGATTTTTTGTTAATATGAGTTTCCTCAGTTAAGGCAGTTTTAAAATTTTTTTTTTCTTTTTTTTATTGGCAGAAAACAACTGTGATATGACCTTTAGGAATAATACTTCTGGTCGTTGTTATTTTTTTGAATTTCTATCTTTTTGTTGTTCAGGTTAAAATACTTTTAAAATATTATAGGAGTTAGGGATGCTTTTAAAATATATAAAATACTTTTAAAATATAGAATAGAAATAAAGGACTATTGAAGCTGCTATTAAGCATCTGTTATCATCAGTTTCAGTACCTCATCTCGACCAGATTTACGTCGTTCATCTCAGGAAAATATATGTGCTGCGGGTACGTCGTCGATGTACGGTGGACGACTGATACCACCACGATATTTTGGTGAAATTACCAATGATCACAGCACACTTCGTTCTAGTAGATCTCATGAAAGTCTTCTTGGCTATTCGACAACCAGTCATATGATTGATCTAGGTAAAGCACATTTCTCGCTTATTTATATGTTCACCTTAATACTTTTCTTGGTCGGCAGATTAAGATAGTTTGCAAAACATTTTATGGTGGGTTTTAAAAAAAAATGTTTTTATAATTCTTGAATTATTAATTAAACTTTTCTTGTCTGAATATTGATTGTTTGGGAAGGTTACGTTTCTTTTTTTTTAGGTGCTCCAGATGCTCGAGTTCATTCAGTTCACCCTTCAGTTCTTGATGTTCCAAATTGTTTTAAAGTCGCAAATACCTATTATGCTTGTCGAACACCTCATGAAAGAAATCAATGGATTGAAAAGTTGGTTGAAATATTCATTAACATGACTGCTTTTGCGCTAATAATTAACAGCTACGCATGTATGATAGCCAAGCAAAGTTTTATGCTGATAAAATTACCATCAAGTTCTATAATTTAGCAGTAACAAATGCTTTTCTTATATTTTTTGCTGTATGCACTAAATACTAATTATTAGAAGAACAAAAAAAATTAATTTGCTAATTTTACACTGGTGGCTTAGTTTGAGCGATAGTTCCAATTTCAGATTTCTTTCATCTACTTTTTAGCTTTTTTTTTCTTTTTTTGCACACTGAAATTAGATTGCTATTGCATGGGAACACCGATAATTAGTGTGATTCATTGAACTGAATAAAAGAAATTTTTTACAAAGATAACAAATATTTTTTCTATACTCCGGAACAGTTTTGGTTGAAAGATGTCGTAAACATTACAAAATATGATATCTGTTATTTGTTCTGGACAGTAGAATGATTTATCGATCTTGGTGACAACTGTTTTGAAGTTCTCAATTCGTCGTATACGGATGGTCCAATTGCTCTTGTTTGGTTACACAGTTTTTGGTTGCCTAAAGTTGAAGAAACAGAGAAAAAAAAGGTTGAAATTTGAGAATACACAAAATTCTTTAAAACTTGAATGCTACACCAGTTGAAGAAGACAAAAACAGTGTTGGTATTGGTTGATGTAATACATATACGGAATAACAAAGATGATTTTTGTATATTTTTTGTATCTATATGTGTATATGCATATTATAATAAACCTACGCACGTGGTTATGGGACTTATTATAGTTGACCTGACAATAGTCTCCATTTTTCATCTCTCATCTCCTCAGTCAACCCCTTCAGTAAACAACAAAAGCACTGCAAATACTATGCGCTATTTGAGCTACATTTTCATGCTGTATATGTATAGTGTAACACCTGCAAAAATTACTACTCGGCGTTCATTAAAGGCCATTTTTGATTTTTGGCAAGTGTTTTTATGTGTGTGAGAGTCTGTGTGTTTGCATTTTCTATAGACTTCAAATAAAAATCTTCAAAATTTCCTGATCATTTTGGCTTTTTTTGTGTCAGCAGAAATTTAGTTTGTTTTTTAAACCTTATGGTGATTTTTTTTTCGGAAAAGACTCTGTATGTAGCACTTTGATGTATCATTGTTAATTGAAATTTGCAGTAAGCTTTTTTATCCTACTTTACAATTTTTTTTTTGCAAAAAGCAGTTTAGTCATTTTCAGTTGTTAGGATAAAATATTCATTACCGCAACAACATACATATCGCTGTCTGTATGTTTAGCGTCTGTTGTTGAATAAAATTTGATTCTATAATGTTAGCTGTGATTTTTCTTTTTTGCATCTAAAATTTTTTATTCTTGAAGAGCAGACGAGATGAAATCAAAATTTGTTAAGCATTAAACAGTAAATTTTAGTTTCTTTTTTCTGGTTTTACTCTTCTCATCCTTGTCTCGTTTTTCGTTATCAATAGGCCGTTGCCAATTTTTTTTTTTTTTTTT